TCCCTCTGTTCAACAAATTTTCTTTAAGTCGAAATATGAATCACCTGTATCTTCAAAAGGTGATATGAGCATATCAAAAGAAAAAAGTTTTGAAACACCAAATTTCAAAACTATGGGATTAAAATATGATGATCTGAAATCTAGTTATGCAACTAGAAAACTTGATTTTTCTCATTCTGGAATCGAATCATTTTATCCCACAGAAAATTCAATTTTTGTCTCACAAAATGAAGAGATCTATGGAACAAGCTCAAAATGAATTTTCTCTTAAAGTCAAAGAGCTTAATGAAGATATTTATGAACTGACCACGCGTGTAGTTTGCAAAGACAAATTGCATGTGCCAAATTTACAAAAGATCCATGATCTCGGAAAAGATTCAAATTCCAATTTTGACTAACGAACCAAGCTAATGAGTCACATCATGAAGCTTGCGGAGGTTGTCAAAGCCTTTGAGTTCAGAATTTAAAAATTCAGTGATTCCTCAAATTAAATCCACTGTTATTGATAAAATCAATTTTGATGAAAGTGTCTTTGAGGTCGGAGAGTTTTCTGGAATTGATTTCAAAAATGATTTTGTGACTTCTCCAAAATCTGAAAAATCTGGAAAGTCTGGGTGTTCGACTGTCAAATCTTCTATGAGTTCAAATTACTTATCTATGACTAGTTTTAATGTTGATGGCTATGAATGAAGAAAGAAATATGACTTGCAGAAAGAAAGTGCTAATTCTTTCAAAATCAATTCTTCTGCAAAGAATTCAAAAGCTAAGCCTAATAGTTGCAAATGTGCTTTATTATCTGAAATGAAATGTAATCTGAATGCTGATTTGAAGAATTCAAAACATTTTACTCATTCATATATATTATTTTTAGCTCCAAAACATTTGCATTGCAACTACTATGGTTACAATTCTTTAGCCATTATTGTCAAATGCAAACATTAGATCAGATCTAAGACGTTCAAATATTTTTCATCATTTTCACGTAAGTCTAAATCTGCTTAGAGTTCTCGTACTGAAAAGAAAAATCTTTCACAGGAATTTTTTTCAAAAGAAAGAAGAACCATGCTTTGTGAATGTGAAATTTGTCTGGAAATGGGTTTCGAAGCAAAAGTATGAATGGCGTGTAAAACTATATATACTAATCTTCTTGATGCTAACCCAAGTGTTCCAAAGTGATTTTTGTGTAAATTTCTAGATACTTCAGTCTGGAACTCGGTCTTCAATGTTACAGACTTCTAGATAAATCAGTCTAGAACTTGGACTTCAGTGATTTAGCTACTAAACCTTTCAGTTTAGAACATGTTCTTCTTTGTTATGACTTCTGAACAAGACAATTCAGGACTCAAGCTACAATATCAGAAATACTGATGCTTATGCTCTTTCTTTGTACACAAGACATGAGATCTTCCTATGTTCATGTCAAGGGGGAGTTATATTCTCTATCTGATCATGTCCAGGGAGAGTCTCCAATGTTCCAACTTGTTTGTGCATGAGCTGAATTCAAGGGGGCATCATGATCTTAAACTTCATTCTGATTCTCAGGTATATCATTCTAATCTTTATCTTCATATGCGTAAAAGAAGGACAACTTCTATGTATATAAAATGTTTTCAAATGTTCAAACCACTTCTTTGAACTTAAAATGTTTTCATTTCTAAGAAGTGTGATTTTAAATGTTTTTGATTTTTTTTTTTGGAACGAGTACCATCTCTGAACAAGTATTTCATTGAGATTTTACTTGTGTGTTTTCTCTTCGTACATATTTCCAATACCTGATTCAGCTATTCTTCAAATCATTATTATCACGTCTCTAAAATGAAAAATTATTTTCGGTGATAATACATTCGCTTGTATTCAAAGTTGTTTTCTGAGCTTATTTGAAAATAATTCTTTGCTTGATACACATTTTTTCATTCTTTGAATCTTAATCTGTAAACTTATTCTTACAGATCTTCGTTCATTTCTCCTAATATTTTTATGAATAATCTGTTTTGTATATCACTCCTTATTTGTTCATGTGATTAATTGCAATATTTTTATTGATCAATTTTTATCTGATCAAATGTGCATCATTGCAATATTCTTTTTTGATCAATCTCTTGTGATCATGAACTTACATTGTTATATTAGAAGAGACTGAGACCTTAACAGAAATAGCTCTATGGACTGTCAGAACCGACAGCTCTACCCAAGAGGACAACCATATCTGGGTAAGCTTAAAAGCAAAATGGGTTTATGTGCACAACTTAAAATGTAAATGAGAGGGGTAGCTAAAGTGAGCTAAAAAAATTGATAAAAGTTGTGTCCAAGATTAAAACAATAAAAGAATCATGTTCTATCCAATATAATCTGGGCAAATCACAAAATCTATTAGTTCTCATATCTTTGGAGACTAATTGAAAAAGCCAAAACTGAGGCCAACTCTTGTCATAACCCTACCAACTACTCATTTATCTCTCAACAGATAAATGTTCCATTAACACTTGGGGCGCACAGCTCATAATCTATCGGTTTCTCATTTGGAGATAACTGATATTGAAAAAGAAGGATATATGTCCCCCTTCAAGTCTTTTTAATCACATATTGAGTCTGATAAATTTGTGTAGTCCACWCTGTTTATCTTTTTGAGCTTAATCTGAAGCATTAGTTGCTTTATCATTTCTTCACTACACAAATCTTACAGAATATCTATTATTTTGTCATAACATTCATAGATATGCTTCGTAAAGCTATCGATGATTGAATGGAAGTCCTGGTGAGATGAACATTAAAAAGTCTCATATATGAAATACATTCGTTGTACTGAATATATCTGTTATATTCACAGGCCAATCTTTCTATAAGATTCAAAACAGGTTCATAAGTTGAATCGGGTTCTTTCCCTCACCTTCATAATCTGCAAAGATTATATAAGCGATTTTGAAAAGATTTTCTTAACTTTATATGAATTGACGACATTCCTTAAAGTTCATTTATTTCGGTGTATGAAGACAATGCTCCTCATTTCATCATAAGGGGGAGTATTCTTAAAATTGAATGAATATTTTCTAAGTCAATTTCTGAAGATCGAGGAAGGTGTTAAAGTTTTCAAGGAGTTGATCAATAATTGATGAAGATTTTTGTGCTGTAATGTTCAAGGGGGGAGTGAATGTGAAGATCATTCATTTGTTGAAAAGAAAGATTTTGTAAAGTTTAAGAGGGAGATAAAATTTTCTGGTGCTGATCAATTGAAAGAGAATATATGAAGTTTGTTGTTGAAAAGGGAAGTTATTTGGGGTTGATGTTAAAGTTTTGAAGATCTGAAGGTTGCTAAAAGTTTTGAAAATCAAATCTTAAAGAATTAAAGTTTCTGAAGATTTTTGAAGATATTGTTTTGGACTTGAATCAACAGGGGAGATTGTTGGAACAAAATTGTTGTATTCAAGTCGCGGTGCTAAAATTATTTTAAATGCTTTGTAATAGTTAGTTGTTGTTTCCTTTTATGGAAGGTTGTTTTGTTTCCTTTTATAGAAGCTGCTATAAATAGCAATGGTAGTTTTGTTAGTTAGTTGTTGACACATTCATTCATACGCATATTAAACAGATTGTATCAAGAACCTGTACCCATCAAAGTTTATCAATGGAAGCTTGCCGACAAATTGCATCTACTGTTCTTGATCTTGTTATGGATTGAATTGTTGAATTAGACTTGAATTACTAGGATCACAAGCTTTATCTTCGATATCACTAAAGAATCTTAAAGTGTGAGTTTTGTCTTCTTGAAGAATACTTGTTCCTTGAGATTTATAATACATGTTTAACGATCACTGAACAAACTCAATGACGATCACTGAACAAACTCAATGACGATCACTGAAACTGAATAATCAAAACTAAGTACTTTTTGTTAGATAAAAAGGATTATCATCAAATCACTGAGAAAGTATGGATCAACAATGTTCTCCTATTTGATGATGACAAAGCAACATAGAGAAAATTGCTTAGTTGATACAGTATGGAAAAAGGTACATGTAAAATACATGTCCTTTTTTACTGTTTTTAGGATTTTTTTTCAGTGATAGAGTTTATTATGAAAATTCACTTTTTTTTGTAAAAGATTACAAGGAAAGAATGAAATTACATAATATAAATTAATTAATACTTAGAGTATATTCACTAACAAGATAGGTGTCAGAGAATGTAAAGGATAAATATAACTCATAAGTACATGTACCATTTACTCTTTTCAGTGATCTTTTTTAGTGAACCAATCATTATATTGAAATATTATTCAAGACAAAATATTACAAATGATTACAATTAGTTTTAGTAGGCTTAGAAAAAAAAATCTATACACTGAAAGAATAAATAAAAGATATACAAGATTTACAAGATTGAAAGGTTTCTAATTTAGATTGTTGAAGTTGATGTAGTCAGGGACATCTTCTCCTTGAATCTTTCTTCTGAGCATTTCCTTTTGAATCATGCAGTCCATCATCTCTCCAAAGAGGTCATCGTTCAGCCAAGGTCGAAGATATTCTAAATGATCCATTGGGCAGAGATGGAACTCAGATACTCGCTRAAATCTGTATTGACCATCATAGTCAATGAACATAAGTCCATATACAGGTTTCACATGCATTGTACTGGGAATAAAAGGTCCATTTTCAGGTAATGATAGATTCAACATTGAGATATCTAGCTTCTTTTAGACAACCAAAGTTCGTACACGAACGAAAATAAATTTTATTCAAAAAATAATCGAATTTAAGGGATAAATCGAATTAAAACCAAATTTAAGAGATAAAGGAAATGAATTTAATTTAAAAAATACATGAATTTATCTTTCAAAAATAAATCACGATTTGTTCCAATATTGCCCTTCATTTAATTCTATTTAATTCATTTTCTTTTTGATCAATTTATAACCTTCCATTTAACAATAACTATGGATAAAAAAATATGAACATACTTAGATGAGTTTCAAATATAAACCATACAAATCTTATATTAAGAATCAATTGAAATATTGATGGTTGGTTGTATAGCACAACAAAGGTAAAGAGGGAGAATCTTTTTCTTTTTGACAAATAATGAGATAGAATCTTGAAAACTTCACAATCGACATTATGTTCTTTATTCCTTACATTTACCATTACGTGGTTAATTGGTTACAAAGTGGCCTTCAAATATATACCGATGCCATCAATATAATATCCAGCAAGGCCATAAAATCCTGCAAATGACCCTTTGTCCCATGGTACCGTGAAAGGAGTTCCTGTTGCACGACCATATGGTCCATGAGTCTTTTTGTTTGTAACAAATGATAGTGACGATATTATCATATAACCAGCATAAGTTCCCCCAGATACACCAATCGTTCCACTTATAGCATTAATTTCCTCGTCCCAAGCAAATGTAACCTGGGTCGCAATGAAAAAAATAAAATGACGATAAAACATTTTTCTTCGAAAACGGAAATAAATATAGCAAATGTGCGAATAGATTTATCRATTGAAGTATTCACCTCAGAGACTATATCTCCACCATTCCAACCACCAGCCTTAWCAGTAGTTTGCTCTAAGCCTCTATATTCTGTAGTGAACATGAGAGAATATATCAAATCCCCATGATCAATGGTTATCTTCTTCAAATGATGATTTMTGTCAAGTTGGAAAGACCACTGATTTTGGGGACCTCCAAGCGATTTAGTTCCCCAAATTCCAACTCGTGCGATTTCTTCAGAAGAAGCCCTCGTATAGACACCAACAGAATCAATGTAGTAGCCTGCAAGGCCATAAAATCCCCCAAACWTTCCTTTCTCGCATCGCACCGAGAAAGGAGCCTCAGTTGCTTGACCAAAAGGTCCATGGATCATCTTATTTGTAACAAAAGATAGTGATGAAATTATTGTGTAACCACTATATTGCCCCTTTGATACTCCAACTGTCCCATTAATGTCAATTATTTCTTCGTCGTCTTCAAGCATAACCTTGCCAATTAAGCCAACATAAAAGAACATTTTTAACTCTTAGTGAATTTTAGAACACAAATTTACGAGGGGAAAATTATATATTATGGATTTACCTTAGAAACTATGTCTCCACCGTTCCAACCACCAGCCTTGTTAGAAGTATACAAAACACCCTTTGATTCACTAGTGAACGTGAGAGAGTATATAAGATCACCATGATCAACAGTTATCATCTTTAGCTTATGATCTTTTTCAAGTAAGAAATCCCAACGATTTTGGGGACCTCCAATAGATTTAGTTCCCCATGTTCCAACCCTTGCAATTTCGGGTGTTTTGAGGGAAACCTTGCAAAAAACAACATGCAGAATGACACCCAAGTACCACAAGTACAATAAAAAAAATTGTACAAAGTGAAAAATACAAGTAAGATGCTATTGTAATGTCTTGTAGAATGTTAATTATCATTAATGAAAACTTACCTGAATTTCAAATGCATTCTCAAGTTTTTCAATGACTCGAGCCATTGTTGGACGTTCACTTCGATTATTTTTCAAGCATTGATATGCAATAGCTGAGAATGTGTTAAGAGCATTCACCTTCATTTGCTTCCTCAAATTGGGATCAATGATCTCATCCAATTTGTTCTCTTCATACCGAGTTTCAGCCAATGGACCTAGAAACATTTTTCCTTCTTCAGATGCCAGCCTCCCACACATGATTTCAAATAGTACCACCCCAAATGAATATACATCTGATTCCTTTGTTAGAACTCCACTCCTATAATATACTGGATCAAGATAGCCAAATGTACCACAAGCATTGGTAACAAGAAAAGTGTGTTGTAAATTTGCAGGACCTATTTTAGATAATCCAAAATCAGATACTTTCGCTTCCCATTCATCGTTTAGTAGAATGTTTGCACTCTTTATGTCTCGGTGTAGGACTCGATGTTGTGGTCCTACATCATCATGAAGATAATTTAAACCGTGGGCAGCGCCAATGCTTATTTGGAGTCGCTGTTTCCAGGTGAGATTTGGGTTACGTATATAATTGTCAAGGCTTCCCTTGCTCTCATGCACATAAACAAGTACCTTTTCCTTTTCCTCATCACAAAAACCAACAAGAGAGACAAGATTTTTATGTTTGTAACTTGAAAGCATAGTAATTTCCATCAAGAATTCATGATCCCCTTGATCAGATTTAGGATCTAATCTCTTTACAGCGACAGTGATGGAACTATTAGACCATGAGAGTTCCCCCTTATACACACTCCCAAATCCACCCTTGGCAATGAAATGTTTTTCGTCAAAGTTGCTTGTGGCTTCTCTTATCTTCTGAAGTGGAATCTTAAGGTGTTCTACTTTTTCCATGAGTAACAAATTATCTGTTAAAAGTGAAATCAGATTAAGAGCGAGCAAAGATTTTTTCATCTGACTATTCATATTTTGAACAGTAAATTTTACTTTCATGATCTCATCTTTCACAAACGACTGGTATTTAGTTATGGATATGAGATAAATGATAAATCACTCACTTGTCAGTTGAATAATACATGGCACCTCAAAGAGACAACACGATCCATGTAGATATCACTAAACTGGAAGCCCATAGAGAACTAGTTAGCATCCCACCTGAAAAACAAACTTATTTAGTTATGGATATGTTTTTGCTCAAAAGACATCTTATAATTGAGAAACCTCTCTTCAGTGTCTTTCTTAACAAAAGACTGCTATTATTATGGAATCTACCGACAAAATTAGAAGGATATTGTAGGAAATATGATAGGATGAGCAGGAACCAGAAGTAAAAGAGAGAGAAAGAATAGTAATTTCAAATAAGGAGATGATTTGCTCCAAGCATCTTTTCCCACTGCATGTATAAAGATTTCATTCCACCCATACAAGCATAACAAAAGGTGCAACAGAAATATGCTTCTTTTAGAAGCTTAATTATAAAATATATTCCTCTAGATATATATGCATGCTTCTTCTTGGTTCTCACTGGAGTGTGACCTTGGTCCATTGGGCTATCAAAAGACCAATCAAGATGGAAGGTTTCAAAGGTCTGGTGATTGTTGTTAGTTATTGTTTCTCACATAGATAGGATGCTTAATTTGTTCTACCAATGATACGAGAACTTTGTGCTATATTGAGGAAGAAGATCGTTAAGCATGGTTACTTCACAAGGTGTATATAAGAGGAAGGTTTTACAAAATTTTGTGTTATCTGATCAACAAATATATCACCTAGATTTCATTCCTAATGAAGAAGCATATGACTTTGAGTTAAAGTTTGATCTCATATTTAGAGGACCTCATGGAATGATGTTCATTTCCCCACTTAATTAATTTGAGCTTAGCCACAAGTATATCAATTTTGCACAATTTTGTTATTAACAACGGACAACCCTCATGCATCTCAACTCTTAGGGGCTGTTTGGATCATGAGAATTTGGTGGAATCGAAAGGAATTGGAATGTCCCACCTTTTGACCAAATTCCAAATATGATGTTTGGTTCACACATTATAAATGAAGGAATCCTTTCAATTCCTACAAATTCATTCGGTCACCGATTTCACGATTCCGCTTGATGTACCAAGGATTTCAAATTCCTTTCCTACGAATTCCTTAGCCCTCATCCAAATATCAGATATTAGTAATATAAGTGAACAATTTTAAATTTTATCTGATGCTAATAATGTAATTTGGTTCAATGGTAATTTTAATTTAAAAAAATCATAAAAGGTCATTTGTTGATATTTAATTCCGATTCCAAAGTTGAATTCCGTGAACCAAACAAAAAAAATTCCAATTCCGTTAAGAATTTCATTCCAATTCCATGCAACCAAACGCAATCACAAGACATGGTCAAATTCCATTAGATTTCATTTCATTCACTCAAAGTCAAATTCATTGATTAATTCCAATTCCATCGAATTTCATTCTACGAACCAAACGCCCCCTTAGGAGGGGGCGGTTTGGTTGGCAGGATTCTAATGGAATTCGAAGGAATTGAAATATCAATTCCATTGACCAAATTTCATTTAGGCGTTTAGTTTACTTATGGAAAGGAACTGAATTTCATACATTCCACGATTCATGGATTTGGTCATTCCATCACAATTGAGAAAAAATTTAATTTCATTCTCTCCCATTTTCTCAAAAAGACAAAATTATCCAGATCTTTCCTATTTGATTCACATAGACCCATATGACCTGATATTTGATCAAATTATCCTCAAACATAAATTGTTGGCTCATATATTAATCTATATTTTTCAAGATTGATCTTCATGTTCTTAGCGACCTTCTATCACTATTAAATTACTCCATCCGTCCCAAAAYAATGAAATGTCCATAATGAAAAAGATACACATGCAGTTTGAGAAATGTATAATTACTAATACATTTTTCAATTAACAAAACAACAATTCTACCCTCAATTATAAAAAGATAAATTTTCTCCATCACATAATTAAGTGTAAAATGAGAAAGTGAACACTTACTTTTGAAACAAAATAAAATAATAATGTAAACACTTATTTTGAGACGAGTAGTATAAAAATTTTCTGCTAGTGACAAAATTTGACTCAAGGTGGACATGGTGTTGATACCTCTATCACTCCCACTCCCTGGTATAGTTGATGTCAGTCCATCTCACATTGCTCCTGCTTATTCTAGTTATCAAAGAGTGTGCTTCTTTCACCAAAGAAAGAAAGAAGAAAATTTGCCTTACAACAGTGATGAGATGAAGAGGATTGAAGCAAAGAAGATGCTCTCATCAAGGATCTGGAATACTTTGGATAGGCATAGGCCAGATTTTTGCTTCTTTTCAAACCACCAGATGGTAAGTGATAACTCTAAAACATATATATACAAGCAGGATTCGTACAAGAACAGCATGCAATAACTGGGTATTATTGCAGGAGGCTAGCATATGGACCCTGTTTATACAAGAAAATGAGATAACTTGGCTAAATCTAATTGGTTATAGTACAAAAGAATATTAATAGGAATAACAATGGAGGAGAGAATCCTAGCAGACTCGGTATTAGGTATCACATTAATCTTTTCAATCCATTTATAAGCCACATACAACCATCCTTTTCAATAAATAAATAAAATAGGAAGACCGTTACAATTGGAGGGGAGTGACTATCACACCTTTTTTAATCGAGTGTCAAATGTTTTAATACTTGAAGTTTGATTAAAAATATAAAATGTAAAAATCAATCAAATAATATAATATATTTTATTATTATTATTATTATTATTTTATATATTAATATACATATATATATATATCTATATATATATATATTTTATAGCCACTTTGTCTCTTATAAAATAGACGTCAGCATCTGTATGTTTTCTTCTAGAGTGTGCCCTTGGTTCAAGATTAGTCGTAGAGCTCCAAAAAGTAACACACCAAATTGTAGTTGAACTTTTACAGTTGATCTTGATTTCTTTAAACAACGAATTAAGACAAATTATATCAGCACATGTTTGGGTTATAGATCTGTACTCAACTTTAGTGTTGCAGCAACTTTTTGTTGCTTAGAGGACTATGCAACAAGGTTGCCTCCAAGATAAACAAGATAACTTCAAGTATACTTTTTGTCGTCCAAGGTGTTGGCCCGGTCGGAGTCACTGTAGCTTTCGATGAACAACTTTAGTTAGGATGCACCATTTGGCGTGAAACATGTTTGCTTTGGTGAGAAGATCCAAGGTATAATTGGTTTGAAACAAGTGTAGACTATGAGGCCCCTAGTTATCTCAAAACCAAGTATGTGACTGGACCAAAGTTTTGAGAAAGAAAAGCTCTTTTTGAGATGAGATAAATTGGTGTGAACTTGTTGGGTTGTTTTCTGTGAGTAATATATCGTCAACAGAAACAATCACAAGAATAAGGGCTCTATCACGATTGAAAAAAAAAAAAAAAAGAGAATGATCTACCACGTATTTACAAAAACTGAAGAGAAGAACAGTTGACCGAAGCTTGTGAAACCAAGTTCAATAGTTCATGGAGCTTGTTTTAACCATAAATGACTTTGTGTAATTTGCAAACAGTAGCTGGATTGGTGTTGTCGATATAACTTGGGTTTGAGGCATGTATACCGAACTTTTGTGACAAACTTTACGTAAAAAATTAGTGTTTGGAGTTAGTCCTTGCCTTGTATGCTTGTACATATTGCATATGGATTTGAATCCGAACTTAACTTTATCAAACATGGTCATCAGAGAGGGGTTAAACAAGGACAAGTGAAATTGGAATTATAACCAAAATTTGAAAGAATTCACTAAACATCGTAAGGACATAATTCACGAAACTTGAGTGACTAAAAGTGAAACATTGCAAATATAAAAGCTAAGTTTGAATTTAATAAAATCATTTCATCAGGCTTCTCCTCTCTTGTGGGATCAAAACCCTAGAATACAAGTATCAAAAAGAAATTTCAGTTTGAACTACGAGTTGTTAAATATAGACTAGGTGGATCGGCAACCAAAAACAAACAAAAAGTTCTCCAAGCCCTCGTTAAGGCTAGTTACATTTAGTTGATTATTGGTAAATTAACTCATAGATGATAAGTTATTTGATGAACTAAATACGTTTAGTAAAACTAACTATAAACTATTTGAAAAAGGTAAATTGACAAAAAAAACATGTTCAAAATTAATATATATTAACATTTCATATGACCAGGTTGTAAAGAAAATTAAATAATAGAATATGTTAATTAATAGATTTCAATATGATTATATATAATATTAAAAAAATTTGATTTATATAAAACACAAATTTTTAGAAATATCTACCTTAAATGATCGTTTTAAATAAACATTGAGTTTGTCCAACCTTACATGTCTTGATGAATTAATAATGTTTTAAAAAATTAATTAAATTAATATTTGTTAAAATATTTACCAAAGTTTTATTATTTATGANCAAAACGATTATAATGATGTAACTTGATAAAATTAAAACATATTTTTTTAAAGTTTATTAGTTAATATACGATTATGTTGAATAATAATAATAATAACGTAAAATTAATTAATAATTAAAATTAATTAATAAATTGAAATTAATATTAACTAATAGTATATACTTGATATTTATTAAAAATAAATAACAATTAATATTATTAAAGGTTATAACGGGAAAAAATGTCAAAAAACGCTTGAAGCACTACTCCAACTAACGTTCAATAAGCTAGCTTATATTAATTCAAACATATACTCAAAAAATAAGTTAATTTATGTATGTTTGCGAAACAATGCCTAAATCTAAGATAAAATGGATATTATCAAATTTTGGTCGCTAGTATAACAATGGCTAGCAATATCTGTACATAAGTAGATAGTTGAGGGTGCTTTCTGCAATTACCTTATCTTTGTCTCTACTATCTCTTATGTATCTAACACCATGTTGGAAGTAGGATCTATCGTCTAGATTTAAACACTTAATCTTCATTCTTCAATATCTATTGAAACCCTTTTCTATTATCGATGATTTTATTGGAGAGTAATCTAATAACGGTTTTCCTTATATTCACAGGTGAATAAAATGTCTGAATGACGCTAAATATATAGCACCCCATATGTAAAACAAGTGGACCTTAGAGGCTAGGATGCACATACACCAACACTTGACAGAAGAACAACTAAATTTAACATAAGAGAAAATTACTTGTAAAAAAGAAAGAAGTTTGTTCAGTGATTATACCAATAAAACAGAACTTGCAGTGCAGCCAAAAGATGAATGATTCTGGATCTGAATCACCAATAAGTCACAATCTTCTCAAAGGTTATAAGAGCTTTTAGGGTACTGAAGCCTCACCTGTGAATTTGAAG